TTTTTGAGGTGCATTTTCGAATTCATTGGGAACCTCAGATCAATTTCAAGGTGACTTTACATCTGTCTTGACACCGATTCGATCTACAATTATTATTGATTTAGAATCAAAATGCAGATGTATTGTTACAACTAAAGAAGAAGATGAAATGCCTAATTCTCATTAAGAAGAATCTCCGGTTCTCAACACTCACCATACAAAACACAGCAGCATTAAGCTGCTATATTACGCCGGTATTCTGTGAGAGCGTGTTTCTAACCCGGTCGTGTCGAACCATTCGTGCTACAACCATAACATAGCTGCAGCCTGGCCCTCCCACGTAAACGGTTACGGTTACATACAGCCTATCAAAAGTTCATTGAACTGAACAAAGGCCTAACTCATAGATTAATTAAAAGGCGGGAATATTTGCCATATTTGCCATATTTGCCACGCTTGTAGGCGGAAAATCGTACTTTTTTATATTACTAGCGATCCTTGGATCTCGATTTTTGGATCTCAACAACAGCGCTACCTACCGGGTACCGCCGCACACAAAAATTTCATCAAACTCTTTTGAGCCGTTTTAGAGTTTTAGTAGGACTAACGGAGAGCCATTGGTTTTTATATATAAATAAATAATTTTCATTTATCCTGTAATGTGTTTTAACTCTCTATTTATTGAATCGAAGGAGACCTATGTATAGTAATATGACGTAGGTACATAGGTAAGGGGTAAGTTTCTTGTAACTTGGTTCCAGGTAGAGACACGTGAATGGTGTCTTCTTCTATAAATATAATATTAAATTACTGAACTAATTAAATACTATTTTTACATTTCATAAAGACACGTAATAGAAAAAATTTAATATTTTGGTTAATTTCGATCATAGACTACAGTACAAACCTTTATAACATGAAAATTATACGGAAGTTGTAATTAGATATAAAGCAATACAAAAAAAAGGGCTCGAAATAATAGATTTTCTCATAAAAGAAGGGATATTGAAAAAAAAAGGAAAAAAAATCGGACCGAAAACGAAACGCGAACCAAGGTATTACGACTTCGCGACCGCTCGATATCCATTTGAGCTATTACGATCATTAACACAGTGTCAAAATTTACTTTCTTATATTTTAGCAGTTTTTCATTGCCTGAAAACACGGACAAAAAGACATTTTCTAAAAATAAATCTCCCTGACACTAAATTTTATGAAAATCGTTGGAGCCGTTTCCGAGATTCCGATTATATATATATATATATATATATATATATATATATATATATATATATATATATATATATATATATATATATATATATTTTTGCTTCAAGAGTTGCTCGTTTAATAGTATAGGATTTACTAATGTTATGGGCCAAGTGAATAACGAGGGCAATATTTACAAATAACAAGTCAAGTCGGATTAGGTAACTAATATTGATTTAAACATCATTTTATCGTTATGAATATTACAACAAATTACGACAAAAATCCAATCCCAAGACAATTATTTGATGAACAAACAAATTCTAGTTTCGTGCAGGTTTGGAACTCGCGACCCTCAGTGCCGCAACTTAATACCAAACTACCGTGCCTCGGAACGGTCAAAATATAGCTGAAAATTTTGTTGCAGGTTTTTCGCAGTTTTGTTTCCGTTAAAACTGCGAGTGGCGCGCAAAAGAAGCCAACACATGTTGTGCTGCGCGTGGGTGATGGCACTTGCGTGCAGCTTGCCTCAGGTAACCAGTTCGTTGAATTGAATACTTTGCATTAGTCACGGTTATTGTTACCCTACCCAATAAGTCACCTGATATTCTGTGAGAGCGTCTGCGTAAGGACATCCTGGTCGAGTGGACCCATTTTTGCTACATCTAATATAGCTGCGGCGTGGCTCTACCATGTTAAAAATGTATAAGTAGTTTATGTTTTAATGTTATTCTGTTTTGAAACTTCATTATATAAATAATGTTATGTGCGTGAGACGAATAACGCGACGATTCTTTTCAATTAGTTTTCTAAATCAATTGAAAAGGGTGGTCATGTTCTTCATCTTACGCCCTTAACAGTGATCAACAACTTACTGGCCGCTTACCTCGTTGGGTTCGGGAATCAACGCGGTGGGCGTGACCCTTGATAAGACGTTTGCCTTAGAACCTTAACCACTCTCTCAAAAGGAAGTGGTTTACGACTAAGATTACGGGCCCCAAGGAATGGTCTCGGTCCAGACGTCAGTCATGTACTTAGTGGACAGTAGGATCCATAGAATACTATAATACATACCTAATATAATGGGGGAGTGGGCGGAGCCCGTGTAACCACTAATATGTCAATTCACACGTATAAATGTCAACACAATCAATCGTTTTCAATTTTCGTGTCAGCGTCGCTGCATGCAAATTATTTAAAAAATGGTAAATTGTGCAATAAGTACGTATCGAAAGAACAGCGGGAAATGGAATTTAAATAAAGGAGACATATTCTACAACCAGTAAGTTACTATTTGTATTTGTGAATATTAGAAACAAAAATAAAGATACATTTATGTGTCAAAAACATTAATCAATAGTCTAAAATGTAGTAGTGATAACTGATAATACGACGTAATTGCTTGTACGTGTGCTCCCGGTGACGCCAATCCTCCTACAAAATAAATTATAGTATTATATTAATTATTCTATGGTAGGATCCATATAAACATCTGCGAAACATGACATATGAGTAGTGAATGAAAAAGCTTAACCTCACAACACTAAGAGTGCCGTAGACAGAGAGGTAGTCCGATTGAAACATACAAAATACTGACACGATATTACAATGTTCCTACTCTGCCAAATTTGTACTTACTCAGTAGCAACAAACGTCTGTGAGGACATTAACTTAAGCTTTGCCGTAGGGCTGCCAAGCGGAATCCTATGAAGAATTTTATTGCAAATCGTATTGTCACCAACTGGAATAAGCTACCGCAAAATATGATTGATGCTCCTACATTGAATGCCTTCAAGAACAGATTGGACGAAATCTCCAAACATTAAGATGCACACGCATCAGCTTTTTAGCTGCTAGTGTGTTTATGTATAAATAATAATAATAAATAATGTACTACGTTAGTTGACGAATCTGTCTAACAGCTCAGGTTTCGTTTCATCCGCTCTCAGCTTAAATGGCTTCTTTCTTATTCGTCAGCTAATTTAGAAAGCCTGAACAGTTAAAACGACCCGGAAGATTGATGAAAGCAAACAAAATTAAGTCAACTCAATTTTATTACAAAGAAGAAATACGGTGGTAGGGCTGCAATCCATCATTCAGTGTACAATAGAAAATATTATGTCATTTTCACATGCAAATATTAAATTAAATGGCCTCGATTCAAGAAATGTAATTGTCAGTACGAAGGTAGAATAAATATAATTAAATTAAATAATAAGAATATCAAAGAAAATAATATAAAGATTAAAAGAAAAATAATAAGATTCATAGAAATGTTATTAATTTAGTCATATTTTAACTATTTATTTGCCACTTGAATTGAATAAACTCTTGAATAGAAAAAAAAATGCATGCAAACATTTAAAAAATAATCTTCAAGCTCATTTTCTAAAATGTTTAAAAACTGCAAGCTTAGTCAAGATTACAGAATACATAATATATAGGTTCGTTTATTCAGTATATTAGTCATTATTCAGTATCGTATTTTGTATCTTCTAAAATTGTGTATATTAGAAGATATTTATCTATACAAATAAATAAAATTGAAGTGTCTGTTAGTAATGTCAAATTAACAGCTTTTTACTAAATGCATATGAAAGTATATACGGTACTTATAATAATGTTGCGCGCTGTAATTAGCGCCTGGTATGTGGCGGCTGATTATTAGCGCCATCTGGTATTAAGCAGCAGAAATAGGAGCGTAAAGATCTTTCTAGAACTCTCCCACTAGCGCCATCTAGTATCACGAACCCTAAGCTCGTAACAATAATTAAAACTTTTAACTGTCGGTCTGTTTACTCCGAGTAATCTCGGAAACGACTTGACTGATTTTGATGGGTCTTTTACTTACAGATAGTTGATGTTACAAGGAGAAACTAAGGCTAAATTTATTTTAGATAAAAAATTAAGGTTCCTCGTACAAAAATAAAACCCATGAAATCCAGTCGTAATAAATTCTACGGGGACGAATTCGCGAGGAACAGCTAGTTTCATTAAGAAATGTGTGTATGTATTTACTTTTCTAAGATGTATTTTTTATATTTTCAATAGCCGCCTACGTGCTGATTGCTGATCTAAGCTTTTATACAAAAAAATGCTTTTAGCATTAAGTCCGCCTTTTGATCATGTACTGTTTTTGTGAGGCTCAATATAGATTAAATAACTAAATTTAACAAAATATACTAAAATAATTTTACAGATTGTGAGATTATTTTAATTATTTTTAGGTGCTTGAAGTCTGTTTTACTTTTTTAACCTACTTCAAAAAGGAGAAGGCACTCAAATTGACTGTTTTTTTTTTATGTGTGTTAACACAGAACATTTTTCTCGGTGAACCTATTTTGATGATTCTTTTTTTATTTGAATGCTGATACTTTTCATGTGGTCTCATATACATTTGATCAAGATATATCAAGTAGTTTTTGAGTTATCTTAAAAACTGCGTATTTAGTTGACTTCTTGATGTTCTAATTTTATTTATATCGGAGTCAGTTGTACCAATTTTTTATTTTACCACTTGTTTGTATTTTTATTTATTTGTTTTATCCTTTTATAGTGGATAAGTGAATATCGCAATCTCAATGTTGTCTAAATAGTTGAATTAAAAACTTTATCCCATAAATTTGCGTCCTTTAGTGGTATATATATGGAATCGCTGTTGAAGTTAAACCTATTTAAAAAAATGAAAAAGAATACATACAAGAGCATACAGTTGAATTGCTAACCTCCTCGTTTTTTAAAGTCGGCTATAAGTGTAGTCTAAAATAAAATATATAAATAATACGTTAAAATGACTTAATAACTTGTGATAGAGCTTGGTGTTCCGAGTGATGCAGCATCCGCTAGTGCCAGAGTTCGAGCAGTGTGTATCGTTCGGCGCGTTCTCAAACGCGGCCCAGGAGATAGCGTACAACGTGGCCTGTCTTTGCGCGATGTACTTCGTGCCTCTACTGATCATCTCCGTTTGCTACATCTGCATCTTCTGCAGGATTCGACGCTGCACCAATGAGCTAGATGGTAATTTAATTTTTTTTTTCGCTTTTGTATATGGCTGTTCGTTGCAATTGATTCTAAACTAACTTCACGATGAGGTAAAGAATTGAAATTTTGAAAATAGCTCAGAATCGGATGACAATGTATGAATAAAGAAAACACGGCGATAAGAAATTTGGCATTTTCAAGTTAAGCTTTCAACTTTCTACACTCATGGACAAATTTATAAGAACTCAAACTTACTTACTTTATATATATATATATATATATATTATTTAGTTTTACTGTATCTAACGGAAATACTGAGAAATTAATAATTATTATTAATTACTGCATTTCCCACAGTCATCTATTCCGATAGATGGCAGTATAACCATTTCCTTTATGTCAGACTTAAAATTCCCATAGACGAGCGACGGTGTAAGACTCCTTGTCTTCTTTACAATTGTTAATTCGAATGCCAAACATAGCGATTAAGACAAACTCTCCCTACAACAGGAGAGCTCTTAATATTAATGGGCTGACGACGAAGAATAAGGCTTAGATTCTCTTGCCAGATCTCTGGGAGGAAAGTCACAAAGAAATAAAGTTCTGGCTAGCTGGTTTTCGTTTAAATAAATTGTTGTTGAGTATATCATGTTACGAAGAAAATTATTGGAATTATAATTATCTTGGTTTACCCATTTTAAATAAACTAATAAAAAATATAGCTAATATATCGGAAAAAACGTTAATCTCTACATTTTTTGACAAATTAACTTTCCCCGTTAAGAAATCTGTCAAATGTTTCCACCTCATTCCTAAGTGGCGCCACCTAGGTGGCAAAAAAGTCTTGATCGTGATTGTAAAAATTACTGGGATATCTAATGGTATCGATATTATTTATATGATACGATATTATGTTTCGATACCATATTTTTAATTTTTATTGTTAGGATTTACTATGTTTCGTTTCTTGTTCAGTATTTTAACATGATGTTATACGAAATTAGGTAACACTTTTGTAAAATGGGACTAAAAATAAGTAAAGAGAGGTATTGTTAACCCTCTTTATTTACTAAAAATCTCTAATATACTGGATACCAAAGTAAAATATATTTTTTATTTTTTTCATACAAACTGCAAACAGGCTTCATTACACGCGTTTTTTTTCATTCATACTTTGACCGGAACGTGTTTATCAATATTTAGTAAACTTAAACCCCAAAGAGCATGTATGGGATAAACTTTGAAGACAAAAGGAAGAATGGAACGTAATCTCTCCAGACATTACTGATAATTTGATTAGGAGTATGTCCATAAAGTACTGATTGTAGCTTATAGCCTATAGAATTAAAAAAATAATGAAACGTTAAGTACACAACTATTGTTTACTGTAATTTTTTTCTTTTTTCTTAATATAGTTAATTGTTGTTATTTGATCGTTTGATATTTTAATGTTTGCTTTTAATGTTTGTTTTAAATTAACCAACAATATGTATATTCCAAGTTTATAAACTTAATTGTCACAAATATCCAATTTTTTTTCAAAATATCCTTTTTACGTTCCTCTAAATTTGTCCATGAGTGTATATTCGCATCAATATTAAATAAAATATATGGGAAAGCAAATTAACAACGGTTAATTTTGATCGCATTATTTGTCATTTAATTTAAATTATAACAACTGAACTCCACACTACTAAGCCACTAGTCAATTTACACCTTTTTACCAAATAAATATTTTATTCAGTCGTAGTCATATCCTTTCAAAGGGTTATATTGTCTAAAAAATCAATTTACGTTATATTTACCTTACAAAATATTATCAAAAGCCTGCGAAGTTTTATTTAATCTTTTTCTAGGTCGGTGAAACCCAACAAGTATATGAATAATAATTCTACCATAATAATTCTTTTTTGTTATACCTATATATATATGACGGCTTGGTGTTTTGATACTATTGTAACGCTTCAAGACCGCGGGTTCGAATCTCTCACGGAAAATCGTATGCATCCCACTTTAATCGTTTGTCCATGTGCAATTTATGTATGTAAAATTATTAATATGTGCAGTACTGTGAAGGGGCCACAGTACTGGACATATTCCTATTGTCAGGGATCATATTTCATGACGTTCATTTATCTTACGTCTCTCATCAATAAAGAGAGATAGATGAAGCGTTCATTTTAAGTAATGCTGAAACCAAACCAAAACTATGATCAAAGAATTGTAAGTACACGTACTCAATCACTCTTGTTTTCCCTTGTCTATGGTGCCGTGTTGACAAAAAAAAAGTATTTTTTCTTATCTATATTTAGGCACTTGAGAATGGCCAGCACTAAGTGCTTAAATAACATTAGGAACGTCAATTTTCATTCTTTACTGTTCTATAGGATATCGAAAGGTAAGATACTATTTATAGGTAGATCTAGACAATTAGGTACCTAGTTACTGACTCCATAGTTACAGAAATGTATTATTTAATCAGCAGCCCGACACAGCTTCACAGTTTTCGATTTTTTCGCGTATAATGTCAATGACTTTAAAAAAATCATTCAGTGTAAGTAGACCTCCCAGTGCTAATAACTGCCTACTATTGCAAGATCATGCTATCTACTATACCGGCTAACACAGCACGTAATAGTAATAAAGCATAAGTAGAATCAGCAAATTACTAATACTTTACATAACACCTCGGTGTATTCTACTTAACAACTTATATCAAAGGATTCAATTTGTTGTCTCACACTGCCTAACCCTACAGTTGGATCGGCATTAACAAAGGCGCGTAACGGGCTAAGTGATGCAGACACTCGTTACCGGACGTAAGGTACCTACATTTTAATTTCATACGCCCGCCATATTAATTTTTTTCGACGATTGAATCGGTAGGCTTATTTCAAGAAGGTCGCTTCTTGAAATTTATTTTTGAGAGTTTTATGCCGAGGCGTGCAAGGTATTATGAACATTATCTGCGTCGTAACTAGGTTTAAACTCACAAGTTTGCTATCAGAAAGTGATCCTTCTGTTTCGTGAACTATTATTTATTCTTTGGTAACACTTAAATTTGACTTTAACAACTTTGACTCTAAACAATTGGAATGTGAATAAAATTCTGACGTACTTCCTGTACATGACTCTTGTTAGCTACTAAAGTAGTTTTAAAATATCCTATTTAAATTAGGAGTAAAAACATCCGTTAATATGAGAGAATGTTAATTTGTCCGACAATGCGTAATACTATTACAGCAAAAGCAATAAGTTTTTCATACTTACAATATTTAATAAATTTCGCTTGCTTAGAAAAGATCTAAGTACAACATGCAAATTATCTCTTAAAAGTAATTTATGACATGTTCTATTTACAGAGTTCGCCGCAACATAATTAATTCATCGCATTATTCATAAAGGTCTCATAAATCTCGTGTAACTATCTCGTCCTTTGTATTATGTTTAGCAGTACTTATGTACTATGAAATTAAATTCAAGTAAGTAATTAATAAATGAAGTAATATAGTAGTTCATAATAGATGAAGTGACCACATGGTGAGATATGCAGGAATTCGAAGGATGCAGGTGGCCCAGGACCGTGCTTTGTGGCGTTCCTTGAGGGAGGTGTATATTCAGAAATAGACTTGTGAAGGGCTCTAATGATGATGATGATGATGAAGTAATTAAACCTGGATGAGAAGGAGGGACTACTCATACTTAATAAAATGGACAACTAACTGTTGCACAGTTTGGTGAGCTTTAAACATTAATATTCGTTATTAATGAATTTAAATTTCAGTTAAAAACTACGCAATTTTTATGTACAGAATATTGCAAGAGATATAAAAATCTCTTTAGAACTGTTACATATGTATATTTATGATACAATTACAGTAGGTACGACTTAGTTGCGTGCTCGGTAAGACATTTTGAACTCGTAGTATATAGATACACGATCAGTTTTTTGATCAAATACCTAGGCTTTTGATCAAAACCGAAAGAAGGCAAAGTTATAACTTAATCTTATCATTAATCTGAACAAACCTTTTTTTGATTAAAAACCAATATTGATTTAGTTTTAAAATAAAATAAACCTAGCCCAACTAAACCTTTTTTACATGGGGAAATGCTTACACATACCCTCCCCGAGGGGGCAAGGATGGGTTATGTCAGGCTCGCACTGACTAAAATCCGATCGTGTTCCACCTCCACCGCATATTTACAGGGCAACGGGAACACTTTCGCATACATCTGCAGCCTCACCAGCGCCGGCCGCTCTATTGCAGAGAGGACTACTTCTCCCCCATCTCCTTAACCTAACTTAACCTCATTTAACCTAACCTAATCTAAACTTGAATTTTATTATAAACCTAAACATGTTATCACATACTGGATGATTTTTTTACCATCTGGAAAAAAATAGTGTGTAACAGGTGAACGAAATAGAAGGCTACGGCACTGATATTTTACAAGATTTTTTGCTTTTACATTAACATATTATAAACTTGATCTATCAGTAAATACTACTAATTGGGTGCGTATTATTTTAATTTCGATAGTTTATAATTAATTAATTAATTTAGTTCAAAATTGTTTGTTTTTATTTTTTTAGTACCGAAAGTTTATTTAGAATCAGTAGTATTTATTGATAGATCAATTTCATAATATGTTAATGTAAAAGAAAAAAATATTATAAAATATCAGTGCCATAGGCTTCTAATCCGTTCTACTGTTACATCCTATTTTTTCCAGACGGTAAAAATACATCCTGTATAAGTATTAGTACCTGGATGACCGAGCTTTGCTCGGTTTCAATAACAAAATTATGCAATTAGTTTAGTTAAAATTTTCGTATTTTTAAAAAATACTAAAAAAAGGTTCGAAATAATAGATTTTCTCACAAAAGAAGGGAACTTGAAAAAAAAGAAAAAAAAAGCTGGCTCAAAGATAGGACGCGAACCAAGGCATTACAATTTCGCGACCGCTCGATATCCACTTGAGCTATTACGATCATTAACACAATGTCAAAATTTACCTTTTTATATTCTAGCAGTTATTCATTGCCTGAAAACACGGACAAAAAGACATTTTCTAAAAATAAATCCTGGCTAGATCGATTTATTGCCCCCGAAACTCCCTGGACACAAAATTTTATGAAAATCGTTGGAGCCGTTTCCGAGATTCCGATTATATATATACAGTGGATTTCATTACTTTACGACCTTGGTTGTAGCGACCATTTACTATATATAGCGACGTTAAATCTAAGTCCCTTGAATTTAAAGCATACTTTAGTACAAAATTCATGCGGCTATAGCGACTTTGGATGTAACGCCGAGTTCGGGTATAGCGACTGTTTTTAATGAATCATTTGTAACAAGTTCTTAGAAATCCCATGCAGATTTTTTTTTTTAATAGCGTTTTCGCCTTTCTTTAAGGACAAGACCACCGCAATTCTACTCCGCGCTTGCGGAGTAGTGCCACCATGGTGGATGGAATTAAAGAGCTTTTGAAGGACTTTAAGTGTCAGTTTTCCACCCGCTTTCAGAAGCTCTGCTGTAATTACAAAGAAGAAGAAGATAATTCAAAAATCAAATTAAATAGATTTAAAATACTAGCCAATTTAATTAAAGGCACTTGCCTAGCGTTACATTTTGTTTGAAGATGGCTGCTGGTGTTCATGGACTGCGGTAGCCACTAACCATCAGGGTGACTGTAAGTTCGTTCACTTTCAGTTTTATAGAAAATACTAAACGGAGCATTATTTCTTAGATAACTGCATACACAACAACGAGAGAATTTCTGGCGACCGCTTGCGGCGTTCTGACCACCGGCTGCTGGAGCGAGCGAAGCGCCGTACGCTGCGTATGACCCTCATCATAGTCACTGTGTTCGCCTTCTGCTGGCTGCCTTATGCCGTTATGACCATGTGGTAAATTTAAATAGCATCTTTTTATTATTTTTGTGACGGTCCTGTGATCCTGGGGTCCACGGGTTCGAATCCCGTACGGAACTAGTATTTATATGGCCTACAACTAATTGGTCCGGGTCTGGATATGTGGAGGTAACGTTTCTCCTCAACAAAATTAAAAACAAATCAGCCGTAATAGCTCATTGCTGAATACTTGTCTCTATTATAGCTGGGAGTGTTATTGTCACAACTTGGCAAAAACATTTCCAACTATAATAGAGACACTTGTATTTGCTATTTAAGGATGTAGAACGACGAGTGAATGCAGGAAATAGAGTAAATGGGGCCCTGCACTCTATTGTGAAGAGTCAAAATGTGTCGAAAAAGGCACGTATGGCAATTCACAATGCTGTGTTGGTCCCTACTTTAACGTATGGTAGTGAAAGTTGGGTGTGGCTGAAGAAGCACGAGAGTAGAATGAACGCAGTAGAAATGCGGTCGTTAAGGAGTATGTTAGGGCTGAATCTGAATGACAGGGTAAGAAATTGTGTAATAAGAGAAGAGTGTGGTTTGCAAGATGATGTTGTGACCAGGATTAAGAAAGGAATGCTTCGGTGGTTTGGTCATGTGGAAAGAATGAATGAGGAAAGAGTGACAAAGAAAATTTATGGTGCAGAAGTGAATGGCAGAGTTGGAAAGGGACGTCCTAGGCGAAAATTTATCGACCAAATTGGCGATTTATTGAAAACGGGCCAAATTAGGAGTACCCTTAACCGACGAGCATGTATGAGTAGGTGTATGGATGTGAAGGAGGCGAGAGAGGTGTGTCAGGATCGTGCCAAATGGAAGTCTGTAGTCTCTGCCTACCCCTCTGGGTGACAGGCGTGAGTGTTTATGTTATGTATATGGTCACCATGCCTTCAGCACCAATGAAATTGATAATTACTATTTTAAGTGCTCACTTACCACATGTATGGCGTTGAAGCAAAAATCGTGAGGGAAACCTGAATGTCTGCGGAATTAAAAAAATATTTCTGAGACATGTGAAGTCCGCTAATATATCTGGTGCAGCGCAGCGGACTAGTTGCTTCATAAGCTTCTCAGAAAGAAGAGTAGAGAGGAGAAGAATAAGAGTTCTTAGAAGTGGGAGTTTACGTTTTGTTAAAATTGATTGTGTTTTTAACCTTTGCAGTGGACTAAGGAACGTAACAATAACAACGTCGTTCTAAATAAACACATTTAAAACTACACTCCTATTAGGACACCCTTAGGGGTGGAGGTATTTCCTCTCTCTCTCTACACATACATACAATATACAAAAAATACAGTAGTGTTGTATAATGTAAACCTCTTACTTTGTTTAGAGTAGGTTATAATTATCATTGGAGGATAAAATTTGGTCTGGACAATATTTGTGGAGGCACACATAAAACTTTAACAATAGTGATTTCTTATATTTACGCGAACTCTACACATTGATTAAAACTACTTTTACGGATTTTATCGCGTTTAATTTTAAATGATTTGTTTTTTTATTTAAATTTAAACGCGATAAAATCCGTAAAAGTAGTTTTAATCAAAACATTAACAATGTTTTGTCTTTTTTAAATTTGTAAATTTATTATGTAAATAAAAATCTAAGGTACATGGTAGACCGAAGCTCAGCATCACGCGTGTCGCCGCAACTGCAGGACATGTTGTTTGCGATGGCAGTCTCCAACTCCTGCATGAACCCCATAGTGTACGGCTCGTACGCTCTACGCTCCAATGAAACCATTCAGGAACTGTTGAAGAAAACATGCTGTTGGTTAACTTCTCCTACAATGGACACAGGTTGTTTATTTACATTATTTACACAGCTCTTTAAATTTCATTTAAAATATGCTGTAATTTATAGAGGTAATTTAGTCTAAACACGTTACACTTTGAACCTCAATGAAATTCAAACGAAATGGCTAAATTAAAACATTTAACATTTGTATGTTGTTTGTAACATTTAGTGAAATTTTTAATAACATGCATTATATATATATATATTATATTTTATATTAATATATATATATATATATATATATATATATATATATATATATATATATATATATATATATTATATTATTTAACAAAAGTTATTTCAAAATCGGTAACTGCAAGCAGATCCCATATATATCTTTTTTTACCTTCAGGCAACACTGGACTGACTACACATAAAAATAAATTGCGCAATATCGACGACCCCACAATGAAATCGAATAAGGTAAGAACGTCGAATCGAATAAAAGTGATATGTATAGACGTAAGAGGGTCCATCACCCATTTTCATCATTCCATGAGTGTCTTAAGAAGTAAATATGAGAAATACTAAACTAACTGCCTCGTTAGTCCAGTGTTTGAAACAGCGATTGCTGAACATGAAACCAGTTATTGGGTTTTTCCGTCAAGAAATTTTCAGTAGCAGGTTGGAGCTAGGGAGTTGGCAGTTTTTCACCTTCATGCTTCAAAAAGCACGTAAAGCTGTTCGTCCTGCGCTAGATCTCTCTCCGGATATGTCGTGTAACCGTCCCATCGAACAAACAGATTGAGGAAATAGAGAGTGTACCTGTGCTTGCACATACACTGGGGCACTATAATCCTGTCCTACGCAGATGGTTACAATATACTATGAGACGAAATTACTAAACATCAAACAATTATATATCTATAACACACGTATATTAATATATAAAATCACACACAATATGATCCATTCAAATATAAAATTCACCACAAATGGATATGTATCATCAGGTGGACTGTGTGCTCGTTTGTCACCCTTATCTTATAAAAAAATCTCTTACTTTATATATATATATATATATATATATATATATATATATATATATATATATATATATTTTATAATTTTTTTTAAAGATGCATTTTGTGGTTGTCTCGTAACAAAGCTCTTCTCGATTTACAACCTCTATTGAACATGTATTTTCTTTATTTATTTATCATCCTGAAAAAGTTTTTTTTGGCGCCCGAAGCAAATAAGGGCAACCCTCCGGTAACGGGGGAGGGAGGTGGATAATGCTCATAGCATACAACGCAGCCGGCTGCGTGGTTATGTGGAGACTATTACCCACTAAACACCACCTTTTGGGATTGGCTTATGATCTGACGAGAGATCTTTCCGTAAACGGACGCGACCCTTATTGGGTGAAAGGAGGGCGCAATGAAAGGAGGGCGCAATGAAAGGACAGCGCAACCTGCAAAAGTCCAAACAATATTTGATACGGACCTCTTCCGTTTTAAGAATGATTTGTCTTCACTCACTCTCACTCTCGTCACTCTTCCCAGGCGGATTGACGATCGCATACTATTGTCATAGTAAGTGGGTTGGCAACCGAGGTTTATATTATTTTTAGATGTTATTAGGAAGATGCTGCTGCCCTTTTCCTGATTAATTTTCCCTCTGTCACCTTTTACGACACCCTCTGGATGATATAGTGTAGTGGGTATGCTTATACCGCTAATGTACGGTTACCAACTTCCGTAATCTTACGTGAACGGGATAGTTATTCCGCCATCTGCTGGATGTCACAAGATTCCTTTTGCACATTGGCATTCCACTCATAATTATCATTTACGCCGACTTACGCCGATTACGGCCATAGCCGACCTGGGAAGTACTACGATCGCAGTATGGTGCGTGTCTAGAAACTTTTTTACACGTGACAAAGCCTTTCATATTGGTCCTAGGTGTGACAACGTATTTTAATTCTTAATCCAAGATCTTTTATCATCAGGGGGATTGTGAGCTCGTTTGTCATATTTACCTCTATACCTAGCACCTACGAACAATTATAAATCTGTTTCTATGCTTTGAACCTTCATCCCAAACGTACAAGGTAAAACTAGGATACTATAAAATTAGTACTACGTTTTAGCTAATTTTTTCTTAAAACCTTCCTAATTATGAGCAGTAATTGCCATCGTCAAAAATTGCCCCATTTCGGGCGATTTTTCAGGATGGCAATTACTGCCAGATTCGTACAGGTAACTTAGCTGCAGGAAGCCAATGATGGCACACAGGAAGTCACTAATAGCTGAAGTACCATAATATTTACATGCGGTGAGATAGTGGAAGTAGATAGTACACATAAACACAGACACACACACACACACACACACACATATATATATATATATATGCACGCACGCACGCACCGACACAAGCATGCCATGACGATCTTGATAAAATTATATATACTTATACATATTTTGGTTCTTGAAGTAGTATTGAAATGATATGTGCTTGGAAATATGGGCATTACATGAAATACTTAATTAAATCGAATGTATTTTTATATTAATTGAAATAAAATATATAATTAAATCAAAGAGAAAAGCTTAGACGTTACGGTTCTGGTTTATTTAAAAGCATGTTATTGAATTAGATTATTAGTCGGCTAATCGGCTACATTTTTATTTAGGTTCTTCATTTCCTGATAATAAGCAAAAACTTTTCAATAAATAACTCTCGAAATACATTATCTTTCTTTAAATAAAAATATATAGAGACAGAATTTATGCACTAAAAAGACAACATACTCGATGATGATGAACAATAGTTATAGTTAGTCGCATTCCTGAGCAGAGTGTCAACCCGCAGACGCGCTTGGGCGTGCGTTTCGCGGAGACGCCGCTAGTGGAGGCGCAGAGGGCGCGCGAGTCGCGTGCGGCCCGCGCGCGCGCCTCACGGCCGCCGCCGCGCCTGCGCTGCGCACCGCATGAGCGACAGCGCGCGCTCCTCCAGTGCCGCGCGGCAAGTGAGCCGCTTGTCTAGACCCACACGAGTCGCGTGCGGGCAGCGCGCGCGCCTCACGGCCGCCGCCGCGTCTGCGCTGCGCACCGCACGAGCGACAGGGCGCGCTCTTCCAGTGCCGGGTGGCGAGTGAGCCGCTTGTCTAGACCCATACGAATCGAGTGCGGGCCGTGCCCGTCCCTGCGCTGCGCACCACACGAGCGACAGCGCGCGCTCTTCCAGTGCCGTGCGGCAAGCGAGCCGCTTGTCTAGACCCACACGAGTCGCGTGCGGACCGCGCGCGCGCCTCACGGCCGCCGCCGCGCCTGCGCTGCGCACCGCACGAGCGACAGCGCGGGCTCCTCCAGTGCCGCGCGGCGAGTGATTAGGTTAGCACTGTGTTAAATGAACTGATGTGGAAATGAGGACGCTGGAGTGTCTATGTATCATTTTTCAGATCTTGTGAATAAATGGTCGTAAAAGATAAGTTTAAAATTTTGATTTTTTATATTCCTAAGTAATATATATGTACAACGATAACAACTCAGTTTATACTAGATGACTATTTTTACCGTCGGGAAAAAATAGGGTGTAAGATGTGAACGGAGTAGAATATTTGACAAGAAATAAAAATTTTGAATTGAATAAAAAATCAATTAACCTCTCAACCCCCTAGCGGTCTCATGAGACCGCGGCCATATTCCGTCAAATCCCTAGCGGTCTCATGAGGTCGCACCCACCCACAGCACTTTAACCCATAAAAACTTATATATAAAGACTACTTTTTAATGAAGAAGTTTGGCATTATATAATCAATATGAAATACTCTTTCCTCTAGTACAATAAAAAAATGTTATACTATGAATTTTTTTTCGTGTTTTAGTATAGTGTTTTATTATAAAATTGTAATGAAAGTTTTTGAGTGAATGTAATTTATCTTCTTACGTAAATAATTTCGAGTATTATATATTGAAATAATTGTGATTTTCACGCTGCCGACATTCGCTTGGCATATTTTTATACCTTTGCGTATAGGTAATGTTTTCAAAACCTTTTGAAATAATTTCGTCTTTGACATTTTTTCTGCTGCTTTTGATTTTTTTTTTGATATTTTATTTGTTTTTTTTTAAATCTGTATTTTATGTAGTATTTTCTTCATTTTCGTACTTCTTTTAATCAATGTATCTGAAAAAGTATGACAAACAGGTAAGCATATAGAGATCAGTAAAAATAATGACAGCATAGTTCAGATTGTATTGGAATCTCTTTTTAATGGAAGATTTTTAATTGCAACTTCTGCCTTATAATTATATAATGTATATTTACAATATGCCAGTAAAATGCTTTTGGAGCTGGCGCGGTACTGCAATGTGCACAGTGCGAAAAAGTAGCATTCCTACTGCATGGCTTGTGGACCAGTGATAACAAAATTTTGAAGTTACATCTGCAAGAGTTTTAACCATTTTCTACATTTGAGCCAGGAGCGGTTTGTCTCAGAGTCCTAGTTCCTTTAGATGCAATGAACACGAGGTAACCATGATTAATCATTTCCTAGAATTGACTACAGGAACAATTTTAGTCAACTGCCTACCCCACATGCTATTTACCTTGTGCGTTGTGAGCCAAGTTCAGATATATAGCATTTTTACTTGTTTCGCCTATGAAAAGATTCTCAGCATATGACATCCTAATGTCGTACTTCTTATTATTATAGTAAATTCCAGCAAACTTACTGGTATAGTAATAGAATATATATAATTAAGAATTTGTTAATATTATACTACCACCAGAGAGTTTTCAGACCGATACAACTTGGGACTTTGGAAAAAATTTCTTTTTTGAAGGCTGGCAATGCATCTGTAATTCCCCTGGTGTTGTGGTCCTTTATGGGCGGCGGTAGTCACTAACTCAGGTGAGGCACATATTTGTTTCTTCCCCCCCTCCTTAAAAAATAAATAAATAGGTACCTCTTATGCGATTCACACGTGAACTTGTACCAGAAATTTGTGTAGAAAGTACATCTGGTATATGTGACGTGGGTTCAAGTTCTGTTTCTGCATGTAAACCTGTAATAGTAGTGAAAGTATATGAGTAACACATAACTTTCTTTATTGGGCTTATTTCATATACTGCTACATACCATATATTATAATTATATTAATGTCCTCGAGACCAAATTTTATAGTGCCCAAGTGTATGTGCAAGCAATAGGTCATCTCATAATCTAATGGGACGGTATTTCCTCATGACCGGAAAAAGAGAACACAGGACTAACAGCTTTACGTGCTTTCCAAGGCAAGGGGGTGAAACACAGCTAATTTATTTTCTCCAGACTGATGCTGAGAATGTCTTGATAGATATACCCAAAAATGTACCCAAAGATATACCCAAATATAATTAGCGAAAGTAATAAGCATGTAAGATTTCTTCATAAATGTTTATTTCTTACAGTTCAAAATAACATTACAAAGTTATAATGCAGCTAGTTTTGTCATTTTATATGGAATTGTAATGAAAGTTTTACTAATCCAACTTATTAACTTGTTAATTCTGATTTGCTGCGATAGTCTTCCTTTAACTTCATTATATATGCTACCATTGAGTAACTTTCCACATTTAGAAAAACAGCAGTTTAGTTGGTAGAGGGGACACATGACTTTGATGAAAAATACTACTAAAGCTTAATATTTCACAAACCCCTGAATCATAAAGATGTTCTTCCATGTTCCCAATGGTTTTGAAAGATCTATCCAATGATACCATACACGATGGAATACATGAATAAAAAAACGTCATTCATTTACCTGTATAGGAGGTACCCAAAATAAAAATGTTTTAAAGATTTTATTTTACAGTTTCGCGTGATTAATATCTATAATTAAGCCAAATTACAAATTTGTAGCACCTAGGGTCTGAGTAAAAGGTTGCAAGGCGAGAGAGCAAAACTGAATCAGGAGATAGGCATTAACCCACCTACCAAGCGTGGCAGCTATGGCAAATAGTACCTACGAGGCAATCTGTAAAGGCGTACCTATGCATACTCTGCAGTGGACTTTCGATCATTACAGCCCATGCCCAAACCTTCAATTTCTTAGATATTAGCTGTTTACAAGTGAACAAAAACTGGAAATTACGCGAATATTAGAAAAGTTCTTACCAAATTGGTCACATTTAAAAACACATTGCTTTCGTGATATTTTAGTTACAGTCAATAAACAAAACTAAACTATGTCGCAGATTTATCAATTACAATGAAATAAAACACATAAACACACGAGAAACAGGAATAGTGCTAAATAGATATTATTATGAATTTAAACTTTACTACCAGTGACCGCCATTAAATGCGTAGTAAAGTGCGCTTGGAAAATAGATCATTTCGTATACGTAAACTTAATATATAAGCTGCCCTGTGGTTAGTCTAGTCTAAGGTTTTGCAATGTAGATGGCAGTACAAAAAACACTTTGTTCTCAAAATAATGTTCTAAGTTGCACGCCCATGGTTTGTAAGCAATTCATATTCGACTCTCGCCAACACCACTTAGCAATTGCAATTTGAAGTGTCAATTTACTACTTTCTTGCTGTAAATTCGGTTCGGCAGTAAAGGAAAACATCACAAGGAAATCTGCATACTATCTGAGAACTTCACGGTCGCCAACCGTAGTGTTTGATTACTGCATGCCTTAAACGCCAAGCGCGTAGGTATGTTCTACTATCGCCTAAAAATCAAAAATCCAACTTTTTGTTGCCCGAAATCGTATCTAACAATCATATTAAAAATATAAATGATATAAAAAGCACATTGTCAGAAAGATAAATGATTGTTGAATTTATTATAATTTTTTTTAAATCGATTAATTGCTATTTTTACGTTAAAAAGTGGTTTTAGTGGCTTATGGTGTAGATTTATCAAGTCCGCATGGAGGGTTAAACACGATAAGTTTTGAAATTATCAATTGTTCAACTCGATTATTTTTTTTAATCTATTCATCTATCATGTGAGAACCCACGCAATGTAAATGGCTGTTTAATTATATTTCGTTTAGTTATAATTATTTTTTTTGGCTGAGAAAATCCGAAATTTTCAGTGCTTGAGCTGCCTTGTAAAAATATATTTTAATAAATGCAGATACATTGACAGTGAGTGGATTACTGTGTCGGTCGTTTGTTCACAGCGGCTAGTGATGAAAAATATCGATCACTGTAGAAATACAAAATATTCCAAGATCCAAATTTGATACATACTTGACCACGATAAGATGTTATTGTTATTTATATAATCACAGATTTTCAATACAACATATTTTTTGTTAAAAGTACGTAGAAAGTTTATATATAAATATACTTAAACGTCTTGGACTTTATGGAGTGACCTGAAGGTACGCTAGTAATATTTAAGTCAATGCCTGAAGATGTACTTTGGTTAAATTTAATAAAATACTGGTTATGACTAGATGAAGAACTTTTTGAAAACGAAATGAAGTTGCATAGGATTTTTAAGCTATTGCATAGCTTCTATCGCGGGCCTTGAGCGGGGGACCGAATCCAGAAATTCATTCCGTAACGAAAAAACCTCACGCTCCCCACTCCGACGGGAAGGTGTGGCTTGAAGGCCGTGCATCGTCTAACGTCGTTTCAGTTCGGCAGACTTCGGCACTCGGCAGACTTCGGCATGGTGTTTGTGTGCGTGCGACTAGACGTATGCGTGTACACTAGCTGCTAACTCAATGATAAAAATTCCTGAATAACCTACATGTATTGTAAGATATTAAAAATATTTTAAACAATATTAACTTTTCATTTATTCAATAATTATTTATGTAATCTAAGTATCCTGTTTACTCCAAAGAATACAGTTTTAATTTTTAAGCTATTGCATAGCTTCTATCGCGGGCCTTGAGCGTGGGGACCGAATCCAGAAATTTATTCCGCCGTAACGAAAAAAACCTCACGCTCCCCACTCCGACGGGCACGGAGGTGTGGCTTGAAGGCCGTTCGGCAGACTTCGGCACTCGGCAGACTTCGGCACGGTGTTTGTGTG